ATTGTCAAATAGGAGCACACCTATTCTTTACCTTTTGGTCCAGGCATAAAGAACATTGACTAATCCTACGCTTGTTTACTGAATCTGCGGCTAGGCTGGGAGGATACCGGCTCTCACTTCGGAGCTCCCACGTTCCCCTCGCCTGAGGGCTAATATCTACACTTCAGCACCCAAACGATAGGACCGAATTGGAGATTTTAATCTGTCACTCTAAAATCTCCAATTCTACGCCCTGTAATATTCACTTTAGTTGTAAAACTCATCATATTTTAACAAATCAATTGGCCAAATTGAAAGTAAATTAAGATCGAAGTGAAAAGATCATCACAATTTCTTAAACATTTTCATTGCTTCACCAATTCAAATCACAATTTCACAAATCTCGAGACAAGGAGAAAGACAGAGAAAACTACTCAGATCTCATGAGGAAAACACAACAAAACTTGGAATTCATATATAAAATCAAATTCATACAATCTACAACAAGTAAATAACTTATCTCTAATTTCTCCCCAAGAACACTCCTCGAAGTTCCTCTGAATCTCTTCATTTCTTTACAACACACAGAATTCCTCTTCGAAGTAGCAAGGAGGAAGAAATCTCTCACTTTCCATCCACTCTTACAATCTCTCGAAGAATTCCTTACACTTTTTACACTCTAACAAACACTAATGGAACATTTCTAACCTCCATGAACTCTTGACTCTCTTCCAAACCCCCTTCTTCTATCAATTTTCAGTCAAAATAGTCTTTTAAAGTTGTGGATTAACTTTCCCAAGAGTTCCCTAAGCATCCCTTCAAAATTTGGTCTTATCCAAAGCTTGAGAAGGCATAACCGCCGAGCTCGCCGTCGGCGGCCTCGAGGGCCCCGTCGGGGCACTGTCCTACTGCGGGAGAATTTTGTCTGGTAGCCTCGGGAAAAACTCGCCGTCGGCGGCGTTGAAGGCGTCGTCGACGGCGTTAAAGGCGTCGTCGACGGCGTTAAAGGCGTCGTCGGCGCCCTTAGTTGAAATTTCCACATTTTTGTCATTTTTGCTCCAAATTTATTCCTTTTTGCATATTTTTGCCTCATTGACCCTAATTCATCATTCCTGCAACAAAACATTCATCATTCCTGCAACAAAACATCAAAATACATTTATTTAAAGTGCAATATCATTAAAAACAGTATAAAATATGTATGAAATTTTAACATATTTTCCTTTGGTCACTCAAGTAAATCTCCATTCTTCTTCTTCCTCCTAGAAATGTAAATCTGTCATTCCTCATCTGAAGCTTGTTGCTCATTCGGATGAGGTGGTAGAGCTGCAGTATAATTGTAGTAGAAAGATTGCCAACAGTTGTACCCACTATAGGTTCTAGTGTATGTGAAGTATGAGTTGTCGTCTTTAGTCCTGATACTTCCTGAAGATGGGGAGTTGCAAGCTTCTCCTGATGATCAGTCCAAACATTATCCTTTGTAGGTAAGGATCCTTCAGTATTGTTTTCAATAAGGTTTGAAAGTATAGGTTGCCCAGTAGTGCCATCTAGCATCACATCAATCATAGAAATAGTATTGTCAGGGGGTCCGTAGGGGCAATTAAATCAGACACTAAATCCTGTCATGTGGTACTTTTCTCTCCAGGTGGAACAGATATGTCTAGAGCAGTGGGGTTAGACCCGTCTTTATTAACTTGATCTTCAAATTTCAAATTAGGATAGAGCTTATGACATTTATCAAGGATATGCCCAAACATCTTACAATGAGAACAATATGGAGGTCTATGTTTCATAACGATTTGTTATCAATATCCATTATAAGTTGTGCCCAACCAGACTTCAGTAACATCAGGTAAAATATATCTCTTTCCACAAGTAATCTGGCCACAGAAGGTCTGGTTAGGTTGAAAATAAGTGGATCAAGCTTTATAGGGTCCCCAAGTATGGCCCCAACAGAGTAAAGAACTTGATGATGAAAAAAGTGCAGCTTAAGACCAGGTAGACTAAACCAAACCGATACAGAAGAAGATTCATGATTAGGGTCGAAATCAGAAAACAACTTGGGTAACTTCATTAACTTTTCTGCAATGCTAAGATATTTTTTGGAGAAAATCTAAGTGTAGTCTTCAGTCATGATTAATTGAATCAACACATGTCTCCCATTCACGAGCCTCCCTTTCCACTTTCCTGATAGTTTGAAATTATCAAAACTTTTTCTGATAACTCCTATAGGTGGGTGCCCCCACTGAAATTGTCAAATAAAAGCGAACTTGAATTTCTCAGTAATGGTTGAAATTTCTAATTCAGAGAAAAAAGTGTTGTTTTCCCGTTTTTCCTACTTGCATTCTTAACAAAAGAACGGTCACATGTGTCATCACGACAATCCTTATAACTTGAGAGAAAGACAACTGCCGACTCCACCTGATTGCACCTGACAAAGCCTCATTTGCTCACGTGGTGGCCTCATTTGCTGACAAAGCCTCATTTGCTCACGTGATTACCCACCACGTGAGCAAATGAAGCTTTGTCAGGGAAATCCTCCTGCTAGAAGCTCTCGATATAAATGATGCCTACGTAGTGCCGAGAAAACAGAAGGCGAAGATGTGAACTATCGGGAAAAAAGCGGCAGGCGAAGAACAGAAAGCAACAGATGCGAACTGTCGGGCAAGTCGGCGTCGAAACAAGGACGACGCAGACGCAAACAGCTGCGGACGTCGTCGTCGAAATCGAAAACGAAGAGGGAATCGTCGACGTCGAAGAAGTGGACGCGAATGGACGAAACTAAAATGACGAGCGGAAGCGAAGTGTACGATAGAGACGAGGTGCGAGCCCTCTCGTTCGAGCGACAATAATAGGCAACGAAAATCGCCATTAGAAACCCTAGCAGAGCTCTGGACCGCCATATATATATATATTAGTTATTACATATATAAAACGATGTGTCGTCGTCTCCGCTCTGTTAGAGATTCGTCTCATGGCGAACCCTAACGTCTGTTGCTTAAATATCTCTCGCGTCTCTGCTTCACCTTCGTCGTCGGCTTCTCGCGTTGTCTGTCGCTTTCTGCTGGAGCTAATTTTGCAGGGGTTCTCGTCGTCCGCTTCTGCAATTTCAATGGTTTGCGTCCTGTTTGCTGCAGGCTATAAGGCGTCGTTCTACTTGAGTTAATTTCGCAGAGCTTCTTCAAAGGGGTTTCTGCTCCTCGTCTGTTTGCTGCAGCTTAAAGGGTGTCGTTCTGCTCGAGCTGAATTCACAGGGCTTCTTCATAGGTTTTCGCTCCTACTCCTTGTTTTCTGGATTCGGACTTTGCTCTCTTCTTTGCTTTCTTCACTGTTCTTAACGCCGCGCCTCCATCTATTAGGGTTGGCTTCGGACAGATCGTACATTGCTACCCTTACGGGTGTCCACACCTCAGGTACACCTAAATCGTGTTCTTTCCCTCATTTGTTTGAGTGGGAGGAGGATATCAAGAAACCTGGTAGGAAGAATGAGAAGTTTGTTATCTTTTTTACAAAAGCTGAAGGTATTGAACTTATTTTCTCCTGTCGACTGAATTTGGTTAGGAAATTTTTGTATGGTCATCCCAAAATGGAGTTGATTCGTAAGGAATTTGAGCTTATGCACGTGGTTGGAGAGTGAAAAATTTGACTGTTATATGGAAGATACATTCTCATACAAATTAATAATAAAGAGGATTACACGCGTTTATTTGCTAGAAGAATAATCTGGATTGATAACAGAGCAATAAATATTCTGTCTGTGGATTTTGACCCCAAGACAGAAACTTCAATCATTCCGGTTTGGATTCGTCTCACTGGTCTGAAATTTCATTATTTTACTCAAAAAGTTTTATGTGTTATTGCCTCAGCTTATGGTAAGCCGCGCAAAACAAACATTCCTACTTTTCATCTTTCTTGGTCATCAGAAGCCAGAGTAGACATCACTTCATCTGATTCAGAGGAAATTTGATTGGGCACACAGCATCATGGGTATTGGCAAAAGGTAATGATTGAGTCTTTTCCTTCGTATTATTCAAACTGTCGTATGTTCAGGCACTCCAGCTCTCAGTGATATCGTCTACATCCACACCTCAGACCAAAAAACCACAGTGCTCACAGTGCTCCGCCAGAGGCATCAGAGGCAGTGATTCCCCCTTCTTCTGATATGCTCCAAGTTATTGACACTATTGATCATCAAAAGGAGACCCCTGAAGACGTCAGTATTCTCGCAGGCAATATGACAATCATTCAGCCGTCTCTGGAACCTCCTATCTTGGGTGAGAGGGAGATTCTTATACACCACTTGCCCTAGAACATATCACCATTATTACAGGTGGCAATATTTCTATTGTTTCACTACCGCCTCATCAAGTCGAGCAAGCTGTAATTGTTACTCATGTTCATGGGAATCATGTTGTGCAATTTTGGGCACCAGCCTACACCTGTCTAACCAACTTTGGAACAATCTATTGTTCAGATGAGTCGATCATCGGATGAGGAATGGCAGGTCTACACATCCAGGAGGAAGAAGAAGAATGGCGGCCTACTTAAGCTCAGGAATCTGATGAATGATACTTTGATTACTTTGGGCAATGACACTCACCTTACTAATTTGTTAGTCGGCTCAATTCCGAGAATTAAAGGCAGAGGGAGGACTAAAGTGGGATGTATTTAGCACTTTTGTGCCCTTTGTTGGCTTTTTTAGTTTTTTTACCTTTATGTATCTTTGTTTTATTTGGGTTTTTTGTGTGTTGTATTGTGTGAGTTGAGTTTTCTTTTAGACCTTTTCATACAACATTTTTGTATCGTTTCTGCTTTAATATATTAGCCCTTGGACTTTTTTTAAATATATATATATATATATATATATATATAAGTTATTACAATTAATAAAGTAGAAGCACAAAAAGATTTTTTGAAACTATTTTGACAAGTTAAAAGGCTGGAAAATTGACAAAGAAAGTTCAATTGCTTTTAGGTGAAGTACAATGCACCAAAAAACCGTAATGAATTATTTATTATACCTTTGCAATAGGCGCCATTTCCACGGCCACATGTATGATGTGCAATGGTTCTACCTTAGAAATTCCCCCAGTTACAGGAAAATGGTAGTCCATCCCATTTTTATTGTCATAAACACCACCATCTTCTCTCTCAGAAAAAACAAAGTCCATTATGTAAGCATCTAATGGCACCTCAACTACAAAAAAGCCAAAAAAAATCATGTCATCAAAATAGAGAAGTTCACCCAAGCAAGCAATCAATGATTATTACTCCAACGTCTTATGAAAAATATCATCACATTTATTAAAAAAATCATGAAATACGTTGTTGACCTAAATAGCATAAACAAAACGCCAGTCCCAATACCCAGGCTCAGATCAGCCTGCATCCCATGCACGGCCTTGCCCATGTCTTCATAGTCACAACCCATCGCCTTAAAAAAAAAACTCCTTGCACACCATCTTCTCTCTCGTTTGCTCGCTCAGTCTCCTTCCCATGCACCTCTGGAAACCCTTTAGCAAAAAGAAAAATGTGGGGAAGATGCAAAAGGAACTCGAATGAGAAGGCATCGATGGGGCCTGGCATGCATGAGAAGTAGAAAGTCACACTAAGTGCTCATTGTAGAAGGTATCAATGGCATCCAGCAATTTGGGAAGCTAGAAAGTTCCAACAGTACTGCTGCTAGCGTGAAGATGCAAAGAAATTTGTGGCATGAGCTCGCATAAGAAAACATCGATAATAGCAGCTGCATAACAAGGCAGAATTTGCACTTAAGAGTTCACTAGAGAGGCATCAACAGCATAGAAGCTAGTGAAAAAGAAAAACAGTACAGTGTACTTGTAGATTTGAGCTAAACCCAACCAAAACCAGATAAATTAAACCTGTAATTAAAGTGACACAAAGAAGAAATGAAATTTAAGGGTTTATTTTGGGGTAATTTTCGATTTGCATTGAATTTCAGACAGCCGCCACATTTGTGTTTCGAAACTATTTTTTATTATTTTATAGAAGTTTCTATGATGAGAATTTATTTTTTACACTCAAATATGTTAATGTGTGAGTTGTAAGAAAGATAATGTCAAACTTTTTGAAAATAAAAAATATTTATAATTTTACAATCACATTTACAAAAAGAATTATAGCTGCTCCAAATAAACCCTAAGCTTATTTAGGATTTAAAGTTGTCATCTTGTTTTTCTTTGAAATTAACTTTATGATAATATATATATATATATGTATGTATGTATGTATACATACATATATATATATATATATATATGTATGTATACATACATACATACATATATATATATAT